GATTGAATGAAATAAAAATATGAGAGAAAAACAAATTTAAAATTTCCCGCCCCAACTACATAAAACTTTGAGAATCTGGAGATATTTAACTTAGCTGAATTAATTTTAGGTCAAACCAGAGTCGCTTGCCAGTGAGTTCAGTGACGCGTTTTAAGAAGCACTCCAGAGCTGCTCTAGAGCGCCCCGGGCTGTTTATAGGCGTTCCAGTGTATCAGAGTTTCGCGCAACTGAACTTTTTTTTTTCGGGATAAAAAAAGGCCTATATCACTCCCCTCTATAGCCGAATTCGATTGACCGGATTAGATCGATCTGGTTCAATTTAAGTGAACCACACTGTGTTCGATTGAGGTTGGATCAGTGCACTCTCATCAACAAAAAAATGATCTAGATCAGAAGAAGTTCAGTTTAATTGAACTCAAATCTATCCACTCTAGGTCAATCGAATTCGGCTTATTTAGAGATACGTGGTATTACATTCAAGATCGGTCCAGCCGTTCACGAATTCAAAAAATAATAAAGTGACGTCGGTTGAAGGGAAAGCCTAAATAAATGAAATGTGGCAACGTTGTTTCATGTTGTCAAAAAAAGTTGGGTTATGTTGTTATGTAATGTGAATGAGTTTGTTTATAATTAATTGAAAATTAATTTCTTTTTCCGAGATGCATAACATCACAAACCTTCCTTGGGATGGCCATAACCCAGCAAACACACTACATACATAAAACGTCCATTTTATGTCATATTTACGTCCGTACGTCCATATGACATATTCAGAACGTACATAAGACGTACACTTTTGTCTTATGTAGGTACATCTTTGTGGAGAACTCACATTGCTTCAGTTAACTAATCACTGGCTGCTAGCAAGTAATAAAACATGCAATCCGTTACTGCTGTGTTAAATTCCATCTTTCATAATAGTGTTCGTCATTTCAATAATAATCAAATGGTAAAATGAATTGGGATGCCGTCGAGGGCAGAGCACCATAAAAGTTATACAATTGCATATAATAATAATAATAGTTATTTATGTATCAAGGGTACTAAGTAGATAATTATGCCCTGAGGGCGACAGTCTTACAAAGCCGAGGGCCTCTGGCCCGAGGGTTCGTAAGTCGCCCGAGGGTATATATCTATTAGTACCCGTGGTGCATACAAACTTTTATGTCATATCAGTTGGTTCTGAATAATAAATACCTGGGAAAAAAGTGTCACTTCGCAAATTGCCATCAGTGTGCAAACATTATCATTTTTTGACAAAAATAATATGTTTATAAGCGTAAATTTATATTTTGTCAATAAAGAATAAGTTAATTGAAAACTGTTTTTTGCGTCTTTATGCCCGCGCGGGCCATAATGTGTACTTTATGCCCGCACGGGCATAAAGTAATGAATTATGTAGATGGTATCTAAGGTTTAAAAACACAATAATGTATTGGTATGACATAAAAATAATTAAATAATTGAACATAATAATAATTCATATTTCCATAGAGAACAACAACAAAATGCACAGTTGACGACCAGAACCTATTTGATAATAATAATTATTACTAATACAAATGTCACAAGCAGCGCAGGAAAATTGCGTTGGGAAAGCTCCCAACAATCTTTAAACATCCATATTAAGTACAGTTACGTCCACCATTTTGGTTTTATGTTTAAAGTGTAAAATACAAACAGATCACTTTTTTATTACCTATTTAATTCCTCGTATATAAGTATAGTTGTTTCATGCATTTTACCTTTACAGGTTTAACTTTGATATTTGTCAAATCACCAAAAATAGTTGTTTTAGATTCATAGCCTTGTCCATAACACCACTAGTTGTGTTAGGAATTCATAAACTAGTTGTGTTATGAGTATCATGACATAACTCAAATTCCTACTAGAAAATAAAATACCTATCAGGTAGGTATGTCAAAAATCCAGCATCAAGCACTTCCCGATCACTTAAGCATAATGCCAACAATTGCCCAATTGAATTTTTCCAGTGAAACTAAAAGACAATACTTAAATAATGAACAGATAAAGAGTACGTTTACTGAACCTATATTAGCTTCTTCCAAAACTACAAAATATTCCTTCAACCATAAATTTTGTTAAAAATTAATAACAATACCTTGTTGATATACCAATAATTTAGATAAGTGATGGCTTTGTTATAAAATTTGCATTAGAATAAATTTCTACTAAAAACAGCCTTTCTAACAAAAATCAATCTAGAACTCACGGGTAAGTTAATTTTTAATTCATTTAGGTCTTATTTTGATACTTATTCAAGGGAAACTTTTGTTTTTGAACAAACTTTTCACGAATTTATGTATGCAAACCACTCTGAGGCGACTTTGATGCAAATTAGAATCAAAAATTACCCTTTAAATAAGAAAAATAAACTTCAAAAGAATGCCATTATTAGATATAGTGATATATTTCCATATGACTGACACTCCAGACGTATTTGCCCTCTGATCGTCGCCTGCAAGATTTCATTTTGCTACTAAAAGTTTAAATCACAATTTTATTCTGTTTTCGGTTGAAATCCGTAATAAAAGACAGAGTTCATTGAGGCGCACCGATGATACTCCAAACAGAGAGCACATGTTTCAATCCAATCCCGATTTTCCCTTTTTGAATCTCAGTCTTGAATCGATTTCTGAAAATATATTCCGATTCCGAGGTATTCGTTCAGAAAGAAAAACACATGTTCAATTCGGGCTTTCTTGCTCTCCGATCGCCTGTTTTCCGGTTGAGGCCCGATATTAGGGCCGGTGGTTCTCTTCAATAAAACGAACGACGTAATACCGGATTTTTTGGAGAGGATAGTCATTTCCTTATAGTTGGGAAAACATTATGAAGTTTTATTGTGACAACTTCTGGACACATTTAGATAAATACGTTCACTGAACAATGTTATATGGTTATTGGTAATTATGGAAGTTTCATTTATTGTGTGGTTGTATTGTCGAATTTGAAATTGCTTTTAGAGTCCTCTAAAGAACAAATAAATACATAGCTATGAAATTAAAATAAAGTGAATATACCTACCTGTTGATGTTATTTAAGTGACAGAAAATTTAGCGGTTTCAATAAAACACACCCATCATTGTTTGTTTTGTAATTCATTACAACGAAAATAATCTACAAATCAACTTGCTTTAAACTGTCTTGAACATCTTCGAAAAAGTGATATGGTCGTTACAGTGAAACGTTAATGATTTGCTTGCTCCTGCGATAATTATATTTTAATTTAAAAAAATAGTAGGTAGGTATTGTGTTTTAGAATGTTAGGTACCATAAATGCTTGTTAAGTCTAAGTCAGTTGTCTAACCAAGGATTATCCATAATGATTTCCACTTAACTTCAATGTATAGTTGCATCCTATATGAATGAAGTTATTGCTCAACTGATAAAGAATAACGCTAGAAGTATAACACAATCAATTAGTTATTAAATTTTAACTTTTAACTAGAAAATTAAACCCAAATAGAAGTGGAAGATCAGCTAAAAGACCAAATTACGAATATGTTTATTGTTTATTTTCCGAATCATAATATGGAGAACCAAGAAGCTATGATCAAGTCATAAAATTTCCAGAATTGACTAAAGCAATCCAATAAGAATTAAAATCGCATGGAAAGATGAATAGTTACTTTGACTCCAGTTCAAATATCAAATAATCAGATAGCAATAGATGTAAAGTTTTCAAATTGAAAGTTGATGGTTCCAACTGCAATATATTTGCTATGGTCTGAATGCAGAAGCCAGGTTAAAAAAATGGAAAATATATAGCTACATTTGATGATCGATATGCTCTCTCTTATTAAATTATCGAACTACGTGGGTTTTGCGACGAATCTGAAACTGTTATTTATGCTTCTAAAGCGAGCAGAGTGGACATATACGGTTAACACTCTTGCTTGTTAAATTTAAGGTAGGTAACTAGGATCGACCTGAAAACCACCGTACCTAGACTCGAACTATGTGCTGCTAGCCAAAATAATTGAAACTGTTATTCCACTTGAGATGGAAATTTATGCGTGTATGGTTCCAATGATAGATCGGGATTGGACGGAATACATTAGTCGCCAACCAAATCTCCGAAATCAAAAGAAAATTGTTAAATATCTGTTCGAATTAGAGAGAGAAGAGAAGAAAATTTAGCTGAGCTAATTTTCAGAGGTGTAGATCAGGAATCAGCTAGTGCTGCTTTGGATGCATCATGTAAGGCTAATGTTAGGTACTCTACCTGATCTTGAAGAACGCACATTGGATATACAAGGGGAAGCGCAATTGTAGAAAGAAATTGGAATACAACAAATAGCTTAATAATACCGGATAAATCGAGTTGCTATAAAATTATAGAAGATTATGGAATGCTATGTGACGAGACCAAAGTTTTTCCAGGAACAACCCATCGTCAAACCCTAGTTAAATATCTCAATAAACAACAAAATCACCTGACCTGGATTCCAGATGCTTAAATGAGATGCATATTCGGCAAAAAAGAGGTTTATTTAGGGAACTTTATTATTAGGAAAAAATGACGAGGTGTAACAAGACAAAAACGCCAAACAACATGCAAGAAATGCTGAAACAAACCTGCAGTCACATTAGAAAGTTTATGATTACAGGGTTCTCCAGGTGCAACAGAAAAAAATAATAATAAAAATATAGCAAACCAACTGCAAAGGCAAAGCAAATATACTACCACAATAGATATGGACAAAATAAAAAAACACTCTCAGCGAAGATTTATTCCTCCCAAAACGATAGTTTCCAATTTATTTGTTTATAGAGAATTATCTATAGTTTTATCATTGTAGAATTTCTCGTTAGCCTATAAAAGAAATTTCCCTCGAGTATTTTAAAAATGTATTTCAAATTTATTTCCAATCTAAAAGGCATGCCCATTTCTAGTCAAAATACAATAAACACGCCAATTAATGTGTGCGCGTAATTTAAAAAACACATTAAAAAACTAAACACATCGATTAATATTAATATTTTAGGGCAATATTTTCCAAACGAGAAATCAAATTTGCTGTTGCTTTTTCGCAAGTGCTCTCTATATCGTCATTAGCGTTGAAAACTACATTTTTGAGCTCTGATACCAATGAGTCGAGCTTATCATTGGTTTTGGTGAAGATTTCCCTTTGGAATTCTCCTAAAATCAACAAAAAAGTGTTTCTTATGAAGAAAAAAATCACCCAAACTCATTATTTACCTTTCAAGTCTTTAATAGCAGCTTTCACTATTTTTTCAATTTCATCCCAATTATCCTCTTTTTTTGTTTTTTTATTTTTCATCCGTTTATTTAAATATTTTCCAATTTTGCCCCCAGTAACCTTTTGAATTTTTTTTGGACTCCTCTTACCAAGTTGAGTTATTTGAGAATTTTCTGGTATCTTATTTGTTTGGAGATAGACACGTACCAAAGATCTAGTCATCTAAAATATTTTATTTAATACCCAGTTGATATCAATAAGTTATGCTAGAAATTTTCTCAACAAAACTTACCTCATATAGTTCATTATTTTGTAACACTTGCAAATGGCCTTTGGATGTATTAAAATCTTGAATATACGAATCATATTCATCGTCAATAAATTCTTCATTAACCAAAAGTATCAAATTGCAATCTTGTAGAGCAAATATATCATGGGAACGTAAACCATCTTCGTTTTGTTCTGATGCAAAGTGTGTATTATTTTTATTTGTGGGAATATTATTTGTTATATCTTTATTTTCATTTTCAATTTCTTTTACGTTTTTGTTTCCAGACTCTTCCATTATTTGATTGACACTATTGTCAATTATGGTTTTATCGAGAGTATTTAGAGGTTCGCATTCGTCAACCGAAAGTTCATTTTCAAGTATTAGATTTTTTGTTAGTACCCTTGGTGATTTTTCGTTATCAAAGTTTTCATTTGTTGATATTGGGTCGTTTAATATTTGTCCTTTCCAAGTAATCCCAGCCATATCTTTGATGATATTACTCATATTCTTGAGCATTTTATCTGTAGAAGTAAATCCAACATTGGCACTTCTGTTTAATTTTTTAGGCGATTTTTCCTCTAATTTTGGTAGCACTGTGTAGCTTACATTAAATGGCCTTTTTAGTAACGGTCCATTTTTTTCTTCGGTTTTTTTAGGTTTTATTGATTTCCTCTTCAGGGAATTTCGATTGAAGTTGCCTGTTGAAAACGAAGGGTCATCTGAATCTTCGTTGGTAAGGCAATCATGGATGTTGCGTGGTCTGGACATAAATGACGGTGACTGAAATGAAAATATTCAGATAAAGATTGGAAAATCAAAATAAACAGAAGCAATTAAATAAGTAGGTTAGTAGTTGTTCAGTCTAAGGATTTCATTGAGAAAAATTTGGTTGTCGCATATATGTATAGAGAGAACAAGTAAAACTGGTAAAATAAAATAACAAATAACCGTAATAGCAAAGCAAATAATTATTGTATGTGCAGATTGGACAAAATTCTTTGGGTATCAGTGAGAGAAAGGAGAAAGGTTGTCAGATGTATTTCAAGTCTATGAAAAACATACTGCATGAATCAAAGAGTGGGTAGCCGCGACCGTAGTGCACATAGGTCTCCTGTGGTGGACCCGTCGGTCGTGCCCAACATACTGCATAATATCTAATATGCTTTCAGTGGCTATGAATAAGGAGATACTGTTAGGGAATAATGCCAGGTAGGTATAGTTAATATTTAATCAGAAAGAATGAATTACTTGTGCTGTAACCACCTTATCGATGCAGTTACCATCACACTGAAATTCCCAGTTACCGTCGATTCGAATAAATTTAACGACGTTGTATTATTCTGGAATTGGAATTAATTTTGTTATGAGTGTTTTTGTGCTATATATTTTTTATGTGCTGTTTCTTCGACATTACCTGTTGAAAGTATATTCAATTTTACCAATGCCTTCTTCTTCTCACAACTCACAGTTGTTTGTGATATTTCATATCGAGAGTGATTGTCGTTCAGTCTTTTTAAGTCTAATCTGTTACGTCCCGAAGAAAAATGTGGTCTGATTCCGGCTCCCGGAAATGTTTCAGCACTTTTCGTACTTTCGAAGATAAAGAATTAAAACAACACGTTTTCCAATGTATTCAAGAAAAGCTGGAAAGTAATGGTGGGCAGATGAAGGATAAATTATTGAAATACACTTTAAAACAATGTTTTTCTGATAGAAAAGATTGCCTCGTTCATAAACTGACACGAGTTCCACCTTATAAAGGTGAAAATCGAATTATTATTGGTAATAGGTTGCAACAATTACTTGTTAGCAGCGCATTAGTAACGATCAAAAGCTGAAAGCTTAGCACATAATATATCAGATATATATCATTATATATAAACCGCTCTCAATAATTATTCACTTAAGTTTGGAAATTGGGCACAGTTTTGCAACACTGCCTGATGGCTCCAGAATTCGCAGATAGAATTTCACCATGCAATATTCCAGCGAATTCGAGAGGAACGGAACCAAATTATCTAAACAATTTTAGAGGCGACGATGCGCTATAAAATGGAGGCGGTCACCGAATCGGTGATAAATTTAACGCCAAAACTGTTAGCGAATAAAATACGATAAGGCGGGATAACGAGAGTGAATATTGTAAGACAGTGAAGTTGTGATTTAGAAGTATGACTGGTTAAGCTTGATTATAGCTAAACGAAGTATTGTGATAGTGGTAGTTTTGTTGTGATTTGTGTGTTATTGTCTTGAAGTTAATTTTGGAAGAGTAGTCGCACTTATATAGGTACAAATCTGCATACGTAACAAAGTCTCATGAGTGCGGGGTAAGTGAAATTTTTTTGTCTGATCAAATCGAGTCAACAGACCGCCGAGATGAAGATTAAATAAACCAGATAATTTGCTTAATGGGGGTGTGACCCTAAAAAACGACTTAAGCTACTTACTTAAATCAAGAAAAAAAAATCTAATATCTCCCGTGAAAACCAGCCTCCGAGAAAATTTCTTGTGTAGATAAATTATGCTGGAATTTGTGATGGAACAACCGCCGAAATCGCAGTCCTCAGTTCGTCCAGTCGTCAGTGAACCGTACCCTATACTTTGAGTGGTTGCAATTTGCTCTAGTGAGATAATTGTCGTTTGTTTTGGAAAATTTTACACGTGTTAATACTGTGCCTGATAATTCGGTGTGACGTCACAAACACGTAGTTGTAACTTTAAATCGCCCAACTCGAAAACGGACCATCGTAGCAAGATGCGGTTTAAATATTTATTCTTAGATTTTTTTGCACTAAAACTTCCATTTTCGGCTCACACCCCCTTTAACTGAGATGTGTGGACGATAATAGAGACAAAGAATGGGCTCCAGAACATTTTGGGAAAGAGAACAAGTCCGACTGCGGGATATTTTGCGGAGAAAAGCGACTGGAATACAAACAGGAAGACCGGGAACGAGACAACAAGGTATTGAAAGGATCCCTGGAATGTTCCAGAACTGTCAACAAGAATTCTAAGGCAAAATAGGAACGAACCAAGGCAAAATAGGAACTTCTTTGAAGAATTCGAAAGTAAATGTAGGAAACTGGAGAAAAAAATAGAGAGAGTAGAACGATGGAGTCAGCAATGGAAATGTCATCAAAATGGATAATTTGGTGATCCATTTTGTACGCGGCCTACTGAAACTACCACTATTTGATGGCGAAACATCTTGTGTAAGCGACAGTTTGAGCCCGCTGCTTGTGCAACTGAACATGATGATCAGTAGAAAGCAAAAGCATTGGTACTACTGGCACTACGAGGGAAGACACTCGAAATTTTCCGTCTTAGAGCGGAGGTATGGAGACAGATATTCTAGTTCAAGTGAATCAGAGCTAACTGAAGAGCAGAGTGCCAGGTCTATCGGAGACGCTGCAGGAATTTTAAAGTGAAATCGAAAGAATGGCATATTCACGAGCGCCCGAAGACTTGGAGTGACAGATAAACACCTGCAACAGGCTCGCAAAATGAGTAGGCATAACACCCTGGAACCGTTGTCTATACAGTGAAAAAATGTCCGTTTGAGAAGCAAGATTGAAGAAGCAAAGGATATCTGAGGAAAGCCCGATTAGTGATACAGATATTTTTCAAAAGTAAAGAGGCGATACTACAGAAGTACTGTGCGATCGGAGAAGGGTATTCAGGGTCCACAAAATTGATGTGTTACAACGTTACAACTACGACCAAGAAGGACATATAAGGAAACACTGTTGGTGCGGTTTTCGTATACCTACCTAGGAAATCACGATCCGGAGGAAAACTGCTCGAACTAACCGCGAATTGAAACCCAGACAACTGATAAGGTGCTACAATTATTGCCGTGAACAACCACATTTCAGTGAAACTGCAGGCGAGTTTTGACGTTTCAGTTGAGGAGACCGCGAAACGCAAGAAGAAGGCTCAGAACATCAGAGAAACAAAAAGAGCAAGAATCATATAATTCAGCCTAAAGAAAAGAAAGCAATTGATTTTGTGAAAAAGGACGCTGATGTCTCTATGTAGTAAAAGATTACTGGGATGTGCTACAATTTTTCGCCAAACACGACGGAGCCTTACCCCGGATTAACGACACCCCCAAATACTTATCAGGTTCCGAGTGGCTTCCAACTTAAGATCTAGAAAGTTGGCAAGTGGAGCTTAAAAAAGAGGATAAAGAGAAGACCGCCTTCACACCTGGCAATGGTCCATACCAATTTAGGGTCATACGTGTATGGAATCATTGGCGGAAATAAAAAAGTGTGAATACTGTAAAATTATTGTTGTTCAAAGTGTTTACAAGTGTGAAGGGTGCAGTGAAAATTATCACTCATCCTGTGCGCTAAGAATTAAAGAACTACGTGACGTGAATGACAGTAAAAATCAAATCTTATGTTCCAGCTGTGCTGACTATCCAAATCTAACGATCGATGAAGAATTAACAAAGAAAAACGCAGAAATTGCGAAATTTAATCAAAAGGTATCCGATTTACAACCTAAAAATGATAATATTGTCAACTCATAAATGTTTACAGGCCCATAGACTATAAAAAATAAAATGAAATACTCGTACTACAAAAAATTAGCTGACTCTGCTGACTGTAGCAATAATTCTTGTATAAATTACGCGGACCGCAATGCAGTCGGGCAGAGGTTAGTCTCCACAGCTTTAAGCTCCTCGAAGGTACAGGCCAAAAGACTTATTCTCCAAGTTGAGTGTGACTTGCTACAGTTCGACTGATATCCTAAGGTGAATGTCATGCTGTAGAAGCCCCATTGAACGCCCCAAACCTAGAGCTATGGAAACTAAGCTCCTTGAGGGTACATTTTCATAGGGCTGTTTGGGCACTATTGATAGCATAGAGCTTTCCTTAAAAACGGGGATTCCAAGGGAATGTTATAAGATGGCCATCCAGGGAACATTTACTGCTATCTACTTTTGGTAAACCCTATTTAATCATCTCCTACATAAGTCAAGGTGTAACAATAGATGTATTAACTACTAGTGGTGAAATCTTTCCTTTCCCCCCATAACCTCTTTTCAGGATAAACCCTTAGCCGACGCAGCCAAGGGTAGATAAAGTGGTGGCACCGGGCACCGCTGACCACAAAAAACCTAAGCGTGACAATATGCAAGAAGAATTCTTTTGGTTACGCAAGAAATTGGACCTGATGGAAGAAAGCATGTATGAAGACTCGACGATATCTACGAGTACCTACTGCGGAAGGGTCTATTATATATGTAAATAGGGATTTTAACGTAATGTCATTAGATTTTTTTGGATAATTTTAATGTAGAAAAGTGCCTTCAGTGTTGTGGTAAGTTTTAATCTGTGGTGACGTCATACCGGATTATCAGGCACAGTATTAACACGTGTAAGAATTTTCCAAAACAAAAGACTCAGGCTCAGACTTATCTCACTAGAGTGGATTGCAACCACTCAAAGTATAGGGTACGGTTCACTGACGACTGAACGAACAGAAGACTGCGATTTCGGCGGTTGTGACGTCACAAGCTCCTGCATAATTTATCTTCACAAGGAATTTTCTTGGAGACTATTTTGAATATAGGACTGCGGTTTTCACGAGAGATCTAAGATTTTTTTTCTTGATTTAAGTAGCTTAAGTCATTTTTCAGGGTCACACCCTCTTTAACCCTAGAATACTATCGTTATTGGAAGATCGCTTGATACTATCGACACGTAAAATTTACGTATAATGAGAAAACGAATGATATATTGAAGTAGTATTTATTGACTATACTTTTTGTCATAGGAAACTGAAAAAGTACTAAAACGTACAAAAATAATAAGAACCAACTTTGAAAAAATAGAACAAAAATAGCAGTCCCAATGTTTTTTAAGAACTAGGACATATTTTGACTTGATGCTCGCCACATATTGTTTTTTTGCATTTCGAACAGTATGTTTTAGTCATTCTCTTCTTAGTAATCTTAGTTGTAGTGTAGGAGTGTGAGTGTGAGAGTATTTTCTCGGGCCTTTTTCAATCGACACGAAAAATTGACGTACAGCAATTTTAAAAATGAGCCATTCGAACACTTACACTTGTTAGCAATATATCAATCCAGATTAGTACAATTACTAGTCTGTGCAGAACGCCTTTATTATATTTCAAGGGAAGCACTGCTAGCAGCTGAAGTGAGGATTCAACAGGGTGGGGTTGCTGCAATGGAGTTTTGAAAAAGATACGTAATTTTTACGTATGATAGTACTCTAGGGTTAAGTTATAAAACACGCAATACACTCTTATCACTCCAATGCCAAGATAGGCGACCTAGAAGATTTACAAATTCCACAAGTCGGAAAATTCGGAAGGAGTGAACGCAACTCGCATTAATCAACTTTTTACAAAGCGAAAATCTGTCCTGTATGAACTGCTTCTTCAAGAAACCCCTTAGTAGAAGATTAACGTGGCGAAGCCCGAACTTAGCAAACAAAAACGAAATTGACTATATACTCACTAAAAAGAAATACATAGTAACAGACGTCTCGGTACTTAATAAATTCGACACGAATGTAGCAGCAATGTCACAATCGACTGCTTGGCAGAAAATATTGAAAATGACATACATAGAGTCATCTAAAAACTACACTATCGAACCACTCCTCAAAATTCATAGCTCAACCCGGATACTCGCAAAATAATAGCAGAGATAGGAAGTCTGCACAGAGATTCACCTGAATACACCGAAATAAACCGAAACATCTCGAAGAAAATTAGACCTAAGAAGATAAACACCGAAAAAATAAAAGCGGTCATAGAAAACAACAAAAGCAAGAAGATCTTTAAGCAGTCACAACGAAAAGGCAAAATAAGAAACTACAAATGAAAAATTAGGATGGCAACATACAACACGAAAGAAAAAAGCTCATAACAATCATACAAGTGTACTATAAGGAACTCTACTCAGCTCCATACCACAACCAAGATGTTCAACAAAACATGAACACAAAGAATTCAGGCTCTGAAGATATACCAGAAATCACCATCTCAGAGATAATACTTGCAGTCTCACAGCTTAAATCTGGAAGAGCTCCTGGGGAGGACGGAATCACAACAGAAATGTTAAAACTAGGAGGAGAAAACGCGCTAAAAGCAGTACAGCCACTCTTAAACAAATGCGTTGCATACTCCACAAAAAAGTTGATAGAAACTCAATAGAGAACTATATACCCATCAGCTTGCTTCCACATCCGTATAAACTTCTTACAAAAATCATAACAAAGAGGCGATCAAAAATGGACTCCTATCAGCCAGAGGAACAGGCAGGTTTCCGGAAGGGATCTAGCAGCACAGATCACCTTCAAACAATTCACACACTTATAGAAAAATGTACTGAATACAACGTCTCACTACATATTATGGCTTTTGTAGACTACAGCAAGGCCTTTGATTCCATACACCTAAGAGCAATATTTAAAACAAACCTGTTGAAACACATCTAAGAGAACGCCACATTCCAAGTAAAGATCGAAAGCGACATGATCACGGACAAAATACGCATAAGAAAAGGCGTAAAACAGGGCGACACTATTTCTCTCAAGCTTTTCAGCCTAGCCATGGAAGATATATTTAAAACTCTATCATGGGAAAACAAAGACGTAAATGTGGATGACAAATATCTAAATCATCTAAAGTTCGCCGACATCGTCTTAATCGGCAAAACACTCGAGGAACTAAGAGAAATGATACAGCAACTGAAGCAAGTATCGCAGGAGGTGGGACTAGAGATGAACACCGCAAAAACCAAATTCATGAGTTTAAGTGGGGCAAACCTACTTACCATCGAAGGCCAAGAAATAGAAACAGTGGACGAATACGTCTATCTGGGGCACCAGATCAAGCTTGGGAAAGAGAACCAAAAGGCTGAAATTACCAGAAGTGAGCATGACCTGGGCAGCATTTGGCAGGTTGCTCTTTATCCTAAATAATTCAGATATTCCTATGAACATGAAAAGTGCATGACACGTGCATACTTCCTGTACTGACGTACGGCCTGGAAGCTATGACACTTACCATAAAAAGTGCAAACAAACTGAGAGTCACTCAAAGGGGCATAAAACGCGCAATGCTAGCCATTAGTCTGAGAGACATGATAAACAACTACGACATACGTCGACGCACGGGTGTGAACGATGTGATCCAGTGCATAGCAGAAGCAAAGTGGAGATGGGCAGACCACGTGACGAGGCAACCGCACAACAAATGGACAAAAATAGTCATGCAGTGGAGACCGAAAACACACAAACGCGGTAAAGGGAGACCCCAAAAGAGGTGGATGGATGACATTTACCGGAAGGCAGGGAGAGGATAGCAACACATTGCACAAGACCGTGACTGGGCTGCTTATGATGATGATGATGACCTCTCGATGTATGTGGATGAGCACTAGAGAACTAGGAACTGGTGCCTCTTTTCCTTCTAGTTGCCGTAGATCTAATTTTTGAACGACCACCAGCCGATGGAGATCAAGCTGTTCAAGTTTACGTGGCTGATCTCTAGAACACGCTTAGAATAATTGATGATTACACTGGGCGGCGACAGAATGAAAATGAGACTCGACACAGGACAGCCTTTAAACTCCTTCGATAAAGACGACTCCGTCTGGTTGTATAAGCAACAGTGAAGGAACGGACTAAGACGGAAAATTACACGGACCGTGGGAAGGGCCATACAGGATCATAAAGAAGATCAACGACTTGGTGTACAGGATTCAAATTTCTCCTATAGATCTCCCAAGTTGGGGAAATTGTACACAATCTTGCAACACTGAATCATGACTAGGAAATTTGGGAATACAATTTTACCACGCAATAGTCCAGCAAATTCAGAATGAACGGAAACAAATTATCTAGAGGCAATGACGCACTACAAAACGGAGTCGGCCACGGAGGAAAAGAATCAGTAATGAATTGAATGCCAGTGTGCCAAGAATTAGTTATTTGAACGCGAATAGGTTATTAATTGGATAATTAGTAGAACGCGAGTCGATAGCGATAAACGAAGTGTTCCAATAGTGCTAATTTCGTCATGATTTTTATTTTATTGTGTTGAATATGGGTAGTTTTGGGAGAGTTGCCTCACTTTTCTATACGAATGCGCTTAAAAAACAATACCGAAAAAAAATTAAATAATTACCTGTCCTTCAGTAACATTTTTCCTGAATCTAGGAATAGAGGATATAATTTTCTTCTTTAGAGGAATCGGCAAGTTTTCCTTATTTTCTGGGGATTGAAAATTAAGACTCTCTCTTTTTAGGAACTGTGCCTGTAAATAAATAAATGATTGAATGCATACCTACAAATAATGACAACGATAAAATATGGTTTTCAATAATTATTATAACATTAGGTATTTATTTTTTATTTTTTCAAAAATGTTGTGCCTCTATCAAATTAAGCATCTCTAATAAAATGTTCAAACATTATAGGAATTTAAGGTGGCAAATAACAATAGCTATTTACCTAACAAGTGTGGAAAATTAATTTTTCCGCGTCTGAGTCTGCCGTTCACCGAACGACGCCTAGCGGAGTTCGGTGAAGCAGCCAAGTTCGGAGAAAACATTTCCAGCAAGTGTTAGGTAGAATAGTTCTTTTAAAGACCTGCGGAAATAAGTATACCTACATAATTTGTAGTAGTTTGTTAATTTTTTTTTTTTGACAGCCCTGCGGAGAAAAAAAATTACGCGCCGATATGCGTGCGGAAAACTAATTTCCGCACGGATAGCAGTGTAGAAAATCGTTTTTTCCGCACGGCTGTAGAAAAAATATTCAGTAAACTGTTTTTTACGTAGATATATCGATATCACTTTTGGGAATTTTCGGGTGAATATGAGGTTTCTTCTAACAGGTCAAAGACCATCCTAAGAACAATTTGGAAACCACCCTGTATACGAAATTTCCATTCTACGCACAAATTTCTGGTTTTGCGCAGAATGGTAACGGTACAATGTACGGTTTCCTGCTGTGTGAAACAAAGCTACCTATATTATGAAATTGAATAGCCAAAAATAAAGGTACAAATTTGGGATTGGTTCAAGTAGCTACCTACCTGATTTTTATTGTCCGTTTGACGAGATTTTGTACCATTTTTTCCTCTTAAATTTGCTTGTCTCGGTTCAAGAGATTGTCTTTTAGAGTATGACGGTTTCTGGATAAAAGAATTGAAATGAGTTTCTGATACCAAAATTATAAATAAAAATTATTTTGTATTACCTCCGAACACGCATCATGGCGATATCTCGACCTTTTACAATGCCTTTGCAATAAACAATTATTGTCACATTTATGAGCACTAAGTGAGTAATGTCTCTGAAAATTCAAAATTCAATAAATTTGAAAAGAAACTGGAACCATTTTATACTTACGGTCGTGATACTGTTGGGCCCGTTTTCAGGAGTTTGATAAGGATCTGTGTATAGATCTGATGGACCAGTTGTACCTAAAAACGGCGTGTTTTCTGGTGAATTAAAAATTACCTATGTATAGGGTCGTTAGAATGGAGAAATTAGTTATCAAGTTTCAAGAAATATAGAGGTTACCTATTCTATGGAAAATTTACGACAGCAAACAGTCAAAATAAATAAACAAGACCAGCTTGCAGCACTTTAAACAAAAAGCTGTTCGGAGATCAAAAGAAAACCAAGACAGGAAAAAAAAAGAGTAATAGTGAAGACAGAAAGAAAGACAAGAAGAGGAATATCAAAGATAAGAAAATGAAGCCAGAACCGGAACAAAGTGAGAAAGGCAAGAAGAAGCATCCCGAAGACAAGAACTAAGAAGAACAAGTCCGAAGCCCGAAGAAGAACAGAACCTGCTTCAGAGAAACCTAAAATTTCAGCGGGAATAGATTCAAGCCCTCTGAGGAACAAACCAGCCAATGGAAGAAGCACCTGAAGAAGTTGGGGGTATTCGTCAGGAAGTTGGAACTGTTTTTCAGGAAGTTGCAGCCTTTCGCCCAGAATTTGATAGTTTTGAGAAGAAAATTAAAAAGTTAGAATGTAATTTGAGATCAGGAAATATGAGGATGTGAGCTTCATGAAAGTATGAAAGGTACATTTTATCAATAACTGAATATTCAAATTATAAAATCAGAAAAATCAAGGAAAATATTATTAATTAGAGACTTTAACGAATGAAAATGAAAAAAGGAACGACCCGGGTTGGGTAGGAAAAAGTGAAGCGATGTAAGAAATAACAATAGAGGTGTAGGTGTATCCATTTTTGCCACCAAATAATTTGAAAAATCCTAGTAGATACTTTCAGCATAAAGATATTAATAAATAGCGTCAACGTATAGAAATAAATTACTGACTTCCCTATTTAAAACATAATATTTCATGATTTATATTCGTGGAAGAACAATAGCGTGAGAAGGAAAAGGAAAAATCAAAACCAGAAAACAAATCTGTGTCAAGAAAATACAACTAAAGTTTTTTAGAAGAACAAAGTGTGGTAACACGTTAGAATTTTTGATATTGCTTCGATTTTGTTAAAATTAAAATCGCTAAAATTAAGGAAACATCAGTAAAATAATAAAATATAGACCTCCATCATGGATCAAAACTAGGTACCTACTAGAGTTTATCAACGGTCAACTTTTTCTCTTGTTGTAGGTATTTGTATCCGCATACCTACTGAAAAAACTAAATATTCTTATCTTCAAGCAATTTTCAATTTTTCAATATCTATTGATAAACTAGGAGCTGAGTAGGTATTTTCCATGCGAGAAGTTAACATTTTTCAAGGGAAAACATCAGGTATCTATTATAAAAATTCAAAAATCTACTCACAAATCGAGAAATACTCCGAGAATCTAGAAGCCATCGGGAACGTCATTTTCACAAAGGCATATACCACACTATTTTGGTAGGCTATAGTACGGGCGACCAACAAGTACTGTTCGATGCTTTGGATTATTAAACTTTTTTTGCGTTACTGTCATAGTTTTTCTATATATGGTACCGATAAATTTGCAAATGTACCGGTGTGGTACCATAAATAATATTGGTTTGTATGTCACAGTTTCATTTCAAGTTATTACAAAAATTAATTTGTAATTTTTCTATTTTCCCGTTATGTATAATTTCTAATTCTAATGTAGATACCTACCTATTAATTATTTAAAAGAGTTTCACTTCTCGAAAAACAAAGGTCAAAAAGCCTGAACTTGCAAAAGTATGCGAAAATCCTTATGGAAACTGTTCTCGAACCAGATAAAGGGGGAAACTCAAAGGGCCGTGGCCCGACTCCTTTATTCCGGTTTGATGTGCAACTTGTAGAACAAACTTACTTGGCCCTTTTAACTTAACGACTATTACGTTAACAATTGCCGAGAGACAGTTTTCGTTAAATTTACTCCTGTTGGTTTTAAATCCACTTACTTTATTTTTTTTTTAGAGTTTAAAACAATGACAAGATTAGGAAATTGAGAGTCCAAATAAAAACTTTATAGATATATGTAACGACGATAATTTAATTGAAAAGGACTTTCAAGCTATCTTGCACTTATAAAAACCAAAGAGAAAAATATTTTCCCTTAAAAAATAAAAAGTAAACGAGCTCAGGATAAGTTTATTCAGATTGAGATTAGCTAAAGCTTTATGGGTATATATCAAGCGTCAGTTCAGTTGGCAATTTAAGATACAATGGATAGTATTTATATAGTCAGAAAAGCACTCAACTAATATTACTGTTATCAGTTCCAGCTAGTGAAACGTGTACAACCTCAGGTCGCTTCTGAAATAGCGTTGTCGCTGATAATATTAGGTACCTCTTTCCAATATGCAGGTTTTGGTGTAGTTGTTGGACAAACAAAATGAGCATGATCAAGATTCTTGGTATTCCTCCGAACCATGTTGCTTCAGGTCTTCTTCTTTTCCTTCTTTCGTGGGGTGTCCATTTCATTAATAGTTTAGGAAGCCGTTCGTCATTCATTCTTTCTATACGACCATACCATGTCAGTTGTCTTTTTTGTATTTCGTCTATTATTGTTTTTTTCTACTCGCATGATTTCTCTTATTCTTTCGTTTGCTATTCTTTGAATTCTTCATTTTCCTGCAGACCTTCTCCAAAAGTCCATTTCGAGTGACATAATCCGTCTTTCTACGTTTTTCGTTAATGGCCACATTCCACGTTCCGCATCCCTATAAGATTATGCTTTGGAATATAGTGGAATATATATTATAAGATTATGCCACAGCATATACAAAAACAATCCAGGCTAACTCTCACGCGCATCTTTTCTGCGCACGCCGCCATTAGGGGATACCATCCTGTCATTAAACGGCAGGGGCGCCGAAATTTTATTTTATTTGTTTATTTATGTGCGTTTTTATTCTCATCGGTGGATTCACCGATGAGTTAGCTATCTTTGTTTAGTGAATGGAAAATGACAATGACCGACATAGAATGGTGGATCCATCGGTAAAATTTGATGAGAATAAAAACGCAGTATTTCTGTCGGTGGTCATAGGCGTGCGGTGTAGAGCGAAATTTTAGTTATGATTTTAGTATATTCGTGTTGTCATTTGTAGTGTTATCTGTTATCATTGTTGTATATTTAATAATAATAATAATAATAAATTAGTAATTATAAATATTATTATACCTATGTAACTATGAAAGTAATAATAAATTAGTTTATTTGAAGCCAATACGACTCTGTGACAGGAAAGAAAAAACCTAAATTATCGTTAATCAAGCCCTGTTTCGTATCCCAAAATGGCCGCTAGTGACATTTCGATGATTAATTCCTTTATTACACGGGCTGTCATTCAAGTTAGCCTGCTGATTGTTTTTGTATATGCTGTGGTATAAGTGTGAAAAACAAATTGACACTAATTGAAACAAAAACTTAAAGGTGTGTATCGATTACGCGAGCCAATGCTCGATAGTTTGTCGCGGGAAATCTATACGCTCCTTAAGACCTAGAGAAGAGGAATGGCGCAAAACGCAGGTGGCTACACAGTGGTTTAAATGCCGTTTCAAATCTTCACTCTCTTCTGGGACACCCTGTAAATAACAGACGGAAGATCCCTTCTTGGATTGAACAAAGTGCATAGGAAGGGACTCAAAAATATGGCATAGGCCAATTCTCTATAGAGTAAATCCTCCATAAAACCAAAGCTGCAGAAGCCTTCTAAACTTACTAAAAAGTTAAAAGTTGAAAGAGATTATAGACAGATATATGGTCTATTCATGAAATTTTCCAATATGCAAGGGGAAAAAATGTCGTCTTTAAACGATCAATTTTTCTCTTAAGACGTAGACGACCATGTGGAAGATAAACTCAATGTTCAAGGTTACTAAAGTTACATATATTAAGGTGCATAATTATTAGATATAGATTCTGCGATGAGGTTTTCAAAACAAAATACTAAAGCTTTCCTAGTAGATCGCTTGCGAGCAGAGAGATTTCATTCAAATGATTATTTCCGGTTTTCAACAGGTTGTCCGTTCCTTCAAGTAGGCACTTACCCTTCGGCCAAACAAGAGCTGACAATAAAGTTATTTACAAATCACGAAAGAAAGCACCGGATTCACTTCGCCGATGAAACATAATCAACTGCAGAGAGAATTATGAAAACAATTAGGATTCAGTTTTTTTGCTTGCACTTTTATACCTACTAGACGGAAGATTCTTTTTTTTTGTTAGGTTATGGTCATATTATGGATATTGTTACATTGTCACCGAGTTTGTGGTTCCACTAGTGAAATCTTTATACAGGGTGTTTGGTAGGTCGATGCATATATTTTGGGAGGTGATACCTATAGTAAGTCATTTCGAACCTATTTAGTCAAACTTACCTTAGTACCGAGTCCTATGGTTTCCAAAATATGGACAATTTAATTTTTCCTTGAAAGAAATCTCACAAATCCTTTGTTGAGCGCTTTAATGCGATATTCAGAAATACTGTCTGACTTTTGTTTGGAATCTTAACGGAATGCGTATTTATTGTGTCAAATGCGTTAAGAATAAAATATTAACAAGAAGAGTGACATTTTAAAGTCATAATAATTCTATCACAAGTTTAGTTTTTTCAGAAAAAAAAATAAAATAAAATAAAATAAAGACAACAAAAGGTTTTCAAAGTAATTTACAAACTTTTCCCAAGCAGCGCTTTTACGTCCTAACAACGTCGTCATTGATGTCTTGACGTTATGACGCGACGTCAATTAGACGACTATACAACCCGTATTTTCACCAAAATGGAGAATCATTTCATGGTTGTAACGACGTCGCAGGTCGCGAAGCTATACTAGTTTTTAACTTATACGTCAGCATACACAACCAGATTTGAATGTTTACTAAACGTCGTAAACCATGACTAACCTAAAAACAAATACTAAACCAAATAAAGGACGTTCCAGGTTTAATATTTTGCACCAAATTCGCACTTTTGGTTTATTATTAGTGTTATTTCATTTCCCATCTCATCACATTAAAAACAAAATGAATAGGTACCTACCTATAAGAATATTGGGGAACATAAAATAATAATGGCGCCTGGCCATGTTAACAATAAAATACGTGAAACTAAATATTTAGCTTCTGTAGGCACATAAAATTCAAACGAAGTCAACTTTTCTGTCAAATATAATTATGATATGCACACAAAACAAAAGGGCTCCTATTTTGTTAATATTTTCCAAAAAAAATAAATAAATGTGTAATTTACATAATTTCTTGTATAGCTTCGATGGGTCAAAAACATCTTTGGGCAAGTCCGATGTACACAAAAATAAGTAATTTTGACTAAATTTCCTTATTAAGGATTGATTTTTCGAATATTATTTTATTTTTATTAAACGTGCAGCAATGGCGGACAATTAGATAGGACCTTGCGATACATAAAATGGCCAAGTTAATAATTTGCACCTTATCCTAACCTAATGCGTGTTTTCGTCATGAAAATGGACTTAATCTATATAAACATAGGACCATAGGTAATATAATAGTACAAACATATAAACCTAGATTGACTATAGGTCCCATACGGTAACCTATCGTAACCAGTTCTTTAGGTGCTTCAACGCTCTCATTTATTTGAAATTTTTCAGGAAACTGTAAATGTTTTATTTTTGATGTTCAAAATCTTAAAATATTGTCTTTTAACCCGACATCTATTGAATATTTTTTAATTTCCTAATTGGAAATTACAGGGTTCTCTTCCAATAGTTCCAATTTCCCTTCTTGCTCGATTTCCTTCATGTTTGAAATAAATTTCTCCCTTTTCACTAAATCTAAAAAAAAATCTTCTTTTGTAATATGTGGATGAGTATTTGAAGCTCCTGTTTTGTCCCATATTATATCAAAAATATAAAAGCAAATTTTTCAAATTGGTGAAAACTTTTTATCGTAATACCATATCTATTGTTTGTTTATGCTTTTATTTGACTGATGACAGTTCATTAACGAACGACTCAAAAAGTATGAAATGCTACACCTAATTTTACCTGTGTCCAATTTTAACGTCGGCCGGACGTTTTTATAATACCTCTATCTGACCTTATGATTGGTCGTCTCAGACGACGTTTTCAAAACGTTTCAGAGGGCGCAGGACATGAAGATAACGACGGATTGACGTCTTCAATGCAACGTTGAATTTGGTACAATATTATAACGTCCATTTTACGATTTTTATCTTACCTTATGATTGGTCGTATTAGACGACGTTTAAAAAACGTTTCAGAGGTCACAAGTATATAAGAGAACGACGGATTGACGTTATTAATTTAACGTTAAAACTGGTTTTCATTTATTACGTCAAAATTGAGCTAGATAAAGGTCCGATTCCTTGACCACATATTAAGGACGACGGCACGACGTAATTTTA